TGACTCTAGATCGTTCCTCTTTAGGTCCAAAAATAATGACTTCAGTTTTATTTTTGTTCAGTTGGAGAAAGTTTTGGCACATCCACACATTTATCTGCTCTAAGCATTTATTCAGTGATTGGATGGGTTCAGAGTCACCTGGTGACATCGTAATGTAGAGCTGTGTGTCATCCGCATAGTTGTGGTAGCTAATATTATTTCCTGTTATGACCTGAGCTAGTGGGAGAATATAAATATTAAATAAGAGGGGTCCTAGGATTGAACCTTGGGGTACCCCACATGTGACCTTTGACCTCTTTGATGAGAAGTTTCCAATTGAAACAAAGAAATCCCTGCTCTTTATGTAGGATTCAAACCAGTCGAGCACCGAACCAGAGAGTCCAATCCAACTTTCAAGTCGATTCAGTAATATGTCATGGTCGACAGTGTCAAAAGCTGGACTGAGGTCCAACAGAACCAGCACCGTGGTTCTGCCACAGTCCGTATTTATATGAATATCATTGAATACTTTTACGAGGGCAGTCTCCGTGCTGTGGTGAGCACGAAAACCAGACTGGAAAGTGTCAAAGCAGTTGGTCATCATGAGGAAACTATTTAATTGTTTACACACAGTTTTTTCAATAACTTTGCTGATGAATGGGAGGTTTGAGATTGGCCTGTAATTCTGCAATAGTGATTTGTCCAGGTTGTTCTTTTTTAACAGTGGTTTGATGACTGCTGTTTTCAAGGCCTGGGGAAAAACACCTGATGTAAGCGATGAGTTTACGATTTGGATCAGATCAGTAGCAATAACAGGCAGGACTTTCTTAAAGAAATGTGTGGGAAGGACATCCAGACAGCAGGAGCTTGAACTTAATTGACTTATAATTTCTTCTAGAGTTTTATAATTAAGTAGTTGAAAATGGGTCATGTTTTCTGTATTTGTTTTGTTTTGGTACAGCAATGGTTCTGGCTTTGAAGTTGATGTGCAGATTAATCCTCTGATTTTTTGGATTTTCTCTGAAAAGAAATCAGAAAACTTATTACAGGCAACATTAGATTGGAATTCAGGTGGAAACGTCACAGGAGGGTTTGTGAGCCTGTCAACTGTTGCAAATAAAGTTCGAGCATTATTGATGTTTTTGTTTATGACATCTGCAAAGAAAGCCTCCCTTCCATGTTTTAGTGTTAAGTGATAGTTACGTAGTTTTTCTTTGTAGATGTCGTGATGAACGTGAAGTTGAGTTTTACGCCATTGTCGTTCTGCCCTGCGACAGAGTTGTCTTGCAGACCGAACTATTTGTGCATTTCTCCATGGAGATTTCTTTCTACCAGTCAAAACCTTTACTTTAATTGGGGCAATGGAATCAATGATATATGAAACTTTAGACTGAAAATCATCTACCAACTGATCTACATCATTACAGCTTAAGGGTGAGGAGGAAGAGTAGATTTGATTAAATGTTTCTGCTGTGTTTTCTGTGAAAGAACGTTTTGTGACAGTAGCTGTTTGTCCAAGTGGGTCAAAGAATAAAGAACCTTCAAAGATAACAGCGAAGTGATCCGACAGGGCGACATCAATTACAGAGACATTGGAAATATTCACACCCTTACTGATAACCAGGTCCAGTGTGTGTCCTTGAGTGTGTGTTGCTTGTTTAACATGCCATACTTACATGTAAACCGTTAGGCTTCTTGAAATGACAGACATAAGAATTAGTCAAACTTGTGAGGGTGAACAGTTGTCTTAATTACTTCACTGATTTCTTCAGAGTTAATGTCATAGAAGGAATCTGTGTATTTGAGTTGTTGCCTTAAAAAGAACATTCTTAGGTGTTCCTTCATTTATCTCAAAGGTGGTAAATTAAGGAGAAGCTTACAAAGCCATAAGATTATGTGGGGTTTCACATGTCTTTTAAAGGCACATTAATCTTGGTGCATTAAATTTGAAGACAGTAAGCCTTAGAAAATAAATCCCTAAAATAAATATCTCAATAATCATCATTAAATATATATCGTGCTTGAAGTTATTTCTGACATAAGGAGAAAACCTTCAATCTGATTTGATGTTAAACAAGTCATTGTGATAACTATACACTTATCCCAATATCATGTTCAGGGCTTGGTCAAAATTGTTTTGGGGCTTCAGAAGAATTTGACGTGGGCAAGACAAAGAATAGCATCAAAAGAAAATGAGGTTGATTAGCAGTGCTTGTTACAAACTAATAGTGTTATCCAGGAAATGGGGAATATCATTATTCTGACCAGGATGTTGATCTGTTATGTCGTGAGTCATGAGACTGTTACACAGCAATAGTCTTGAGTCTTAAGTCTTCAGTTTTTAAAAAAAAAAACTGACTGATAACAGATTCTACTTGCCCACAGTATCACCATCCACAACAACCCTGAAAATTTTTGGTTTATGAGTTATGGCAACATTTATTTTTTTTAGAACAAATAAAATAGCTTTTAATTGAAGGGAATTATGCCTTGGGTTGGCTCTGATAATGTTTTCCTAGCCTTAGCTAACAAGAGTTCAAAAATGTTTTTAAAGGACAAATTGCACTGTGTTCCTAAAACATGAACTAATGGTTGAACTAAGCAATTAATGGTTGAATAAAAATAATCTGTGCATGAACAGTAACTTGCCCACTTTGTCACAACGCACAAGCTTTTTGTAATCCCCAATACCACTACCACTGACCACTGTAAACATCCCATAAATCCTTCTTGTCAGTTCAGACAAGACCGTACAAAGAACAGACTTCTCAGTTTTCTTTCTTTCTTTTTTGGGTGGGGGGTGGAGTTTTTGAAGTTTCCTGCTGTGCTGTGGGTTCTTCCCAGCATAACTAAGACGCTGAAAGCAGCTTATCTGCTTAAAACAGGAAACGGAGAACGGGCGGCGGGTGGGGGGGAAAAAAAAGGTGTCTGAGTCCTGTGTCTGTTTCCCGGTTCACAGAGAGGGCTTATTGAAGGAACTTGTTTCTCTCACTAGAGTCTCTCTCCACCAACCCCAGTCGTCTAATACATTTAGGCCCCCACTTCCTCCATTGGTTTTGATAGGCCAGGCGTCCAAATTTCCTCCGCAGGACTCAGGAAAAATCAATAATCCTCAGTTGAGTGCAGAAGGAAAACCCTCTATTAACAAGACAATGTGATTGGAGCAATAGGAGTGTGAACTGGGCTATGGGCATGGTAGTTATTCTGCCTTCTACATATGAATGCTGTTGAATTTGAGCATTATCATTCTTCCTGAGTCAGGATTGTGGCACCAAGTATTACTTTTAAAAATGGTACTTCCTCCTGATTATCTTCTTTCCATTGGACCTTTCCCTTTGGATGGTGTTCTTGCAAACAAGCCAAATGCTAATGTCATTGAAACCCCAGGTGCTTCTCGTGGCTTTTGAAGTTTGACATCAGTCCCTGCTACCTTCCTCCCTTGGGCCCAATTTTCCCTCCATGAAGCTTCAAGGTCCTCAGCTGAGCTCTCTGTTTAGCAACAACAGCCGCACAACAGTGTGAATGTGTGTCAGACAGAATGGTAATGAGTATCCGTGAGACCCAACCCCGATCTTTCCCCCTCCTTTCCGTCTGAAAATAGATTTGTTCCTACATGCAAAACGGATATTGTAATCACATTTTCTTGTCCCTGATCCACCTGGGGATTTGTACCGTGCACACCAAAAATGTAAATGAATGCAGCGAGATAGACATCACTGGTGATAAATCACATTACCTCCAAATTCTGCTTAGAAACACAACCAGACTGCACTGTAAGCAACACTGATGGTAGTATATTAACTCACCAGTTAGCTATTTCCTTCACTGTACATCTTGTTCTATGTAATTTATTCTATTTTTTTGGTTTGCTTTATTGTTTATTTACAAGACAGCAGTGTTGTGCTTTTGGGAGAAAATGGACAGAAAGGAGACCAGTGCTGTAAAAGGGCAATAGAATAAATTTAGATTTCAACAATCAGAAATTTTACCAGTTTTTACTGCAATAACAAATTCTCTTTAGAAATTATTAACAAGAGATTAAAAATGCAACTGAATGAACATTGACATGTTTATAGTAAACTAAAAGTATGATTTGCTATATTTCATAAAATAAATGCAACTCTTGTATTTGTATCGGTAATCCCTGTTTTATTGTATCCTTGACCTTGGGTACAAATATGCCCTTCTTTAAAACAGGAAATGCTGCTAAAGTGAGGCAAATGTAAATTGAGCTTCCAATATGCAAGAAATAAGCTCCTCATCTTGCTCAGATGGACAGTCGGAGCAATGACCAAATAACTTGAAACAACTGGAATACTACTCGTCCTCATAAAATTTTCAGTAAATTATAGAAGTGATTACCATGTTGCTGTGACTTAATTAACACATTGCCAAAGGGACTATTCTTGGCCAGCTAGTTATTCTCTTGTTGTGGCACTGTGGAGTTTTTGTGGGGCACATAGTCAAGGAGTTTATTGCGCCTTTGGTTCTGTGAATTGAATGTCCGCAGTTAGACTAACAAGCTTTGGGAGAAGCAGGAAAACCAAGCACACAGGGTGAGATAATAAATTATCTTGGAGACTTACGGGAGAAGGAGCATTTGTTTGAGCACATTTGTTTGCTCAGTGTGGTTATATAACACTGTGAAGAAAAAAAAAGACTTACCAGTAATAGATGAGGTTCCTGCTTGCGCCATTTTTACCTCCACCCTTAAAATGTTGAAACAGCGACAAATATTAATGCAAGTTGGACAAACATAGGATCCTCAAGGGAAACTATCTAAGATGTTTCTTATCCTCCTCCTTGTCACCCCCCTTCTGACAGGGATTGTTCCTAACCCCAAGTCTGTACAATGCTAGCAGACCATCATTTTTCAACGGAACTTGTGACAACCTCCTCCTGCATTAAAGTTTGGCTTTCTATATGTTGTAATTTGCTGACATTTCTTTTTTCTTTCTCTTTCTCTCCTTCTTATCCCCACTGCCCAACCCTCCTTTGTTCCACCAACACCACGCTCACAGATGTTACCAACTTTTCCACACTAGGTAAGTAATTTTATTTTCCATAGCACAGTCCTCCAGAGTGAGTTGTCTTGTTATTTTGGGAGTGACGTGAATGCATAAATACGGCAGAGATTTACACAGGAGTTGGAGCTGAAGCGACTCAGATATGCTGCTGTTTGCCTGGTTAAGATATTCGGTTTTCTGCCATCTTCAGCTGTCCTAGTCCCTGCCTTTGCCCCCCACATGTGAGAATACACATTTTGAGCTGTGTACCTTCAATTTGAATTGTATTCAAATGAGAATCAAATCGCCCAGATGGTTCAAAGAACACGTCAGCAATGTTGACTTAAACAGGCATGGTGTTTGTTTTCACACTGTGGAGAGTGGGCGGAAGTTTAAACCCAATCGTACCATTCACAATGTACACATCATCAAACCCATAGAATATACGACAATGTTCGTATGAGAGCTGTATAATATATTTAATTGGATTTGGAATTGCAGTCAATGTATAAAATATCGCAATCGCAAAAGACTGTTTGAATGTAGTATCTTGGTAGGTGTTTGCACTCTGCATGTCGAAAACAGACTAGAGAGTCCAAACTCATCCAAAGACTGAAATACAAAACCTCACAATGGGGCAAATATGTTGATAATGGAGAAGAACATGAGTAGCATGAAAATTGTAATCACAATGGATATTATCATCTTTCTACTTTGTAGAAATATTGCTCTCATACTGCCATCCATTCAAATGTTTTGTATATTACATAGTGCTATAAAGTAATGAACCTCTTAGAGATTTCTTCTATTTCAGTGAAGTTTCAAATAAGCGGTGTTGATGTACAAAGTAAATCCAGATTTTGAAATGACAATTTAATTTTTGAAGGGAACCAAGCTATTAAAATATTTTTTTTTTAGCATTTTAACTATATTAACAACAGTTTTGGAATAATTTTAGTTTCACCAACCAAAACAAGACCTTGTTACTGCCAGATGTGTAAAAATTATTTGTATAGCACATTTCAGGATCAAGGCAGTTCAAGGTGCTTTACATCATAAAATCACAAAAATACAAAAGTCATAGAAACACAGTCAACAATTGAAGCATTGCATTGTCATTGAATTTCAAAATGTTGATTGTTTCATTAATGATGTTTCCAGTGTCCAGGGTTGTTGGTTTGTGTGTGAGCTGGTTCTCAATATGGACTGGCTAGTGGAGGATTGGCGGGCGGACAATTGGAAATTCTTAGTAATTTCCAATTGGCTTTCTGTATGAGCTTGATATTTCCAGCCATGAATGGAAGTTGTCTGAGGTTGTATCTCAAAAAGGTTTTAACAGCGACTTAATTCAATAAATGACGGCCCAGATCAAAATGTTTGCTTTTTTTTTTTTTAAATCGAATTAATATTTTCAGGTTTCTTGATTAAGATCCATTATGGACTGTAGCTGCTCATCCTGAAAAGGTTGTCAGTCAATCACAGGCCCAAGATTGACAGACCACTGTCCCACTCATTATACGAAGTGTGCTCAGAAGGACCTTCTCAGTCAACAATGACGCTACAGTACAAGCTATTTTATTATGTGGCCATCTTTGAGAATATTGCCTGAAATTGAGATGGAAGATTTTAGAAATCCAGTGATTCTACGGTGCAGCCCAAATAGTTTACCTTAGTGGTTCTGTTTTTCCAGCTCTCTTCTTCTTTCCCATTTATGGTCACCTCTTTTTTTAAACCTTAAAAGAATAAAGTGTCTTGGATTGTTATAAACCATGTTGCTTTCATTGAGAACAACCGCCTTCATTTTTGCTGAATTGTAAACTTGAACAAAAATTGTTGTAGAAATGAATTAGATCTGTCTTCTCAGTTTTGGGGGGTGAGGGAAAACAAAAAAACAACAAAAGCCTGCTGAGGATAAAATGTATAAAAGGAGTTTTAGTTTAGAGGAAAAAAAAACATTCCTGTCAGAAAAAAATCATCTGGATTACAACTAAGAGGCTAAGAAGCACATGAGCTCACAAAAGCACAAGAGCGAGGCCACAGGAGGATGACGGTCACCCTTGGTTTTATCTGAGACAGATGACAGCAAAGCCTGTATTGGAGCAAACACTCCTGCACTTAGATCAGATGATCAGCAGGGAGACGGATCTGCAGATGGACGGAGGTTGTTTCTTAAAGGGCAGAACACACTGGGGGTGAATGATGCAAGAGGAAAAAAACAACACACCTCCTTTAATTTATGTTTACCCACCCTAAACTCTGGTGGCTGCAGCAGACTGCAGCTCTGTGGAATGGCCTTCAGATTCTTCTTGGCTTAATGTGGTATCGCCTTTGTGCAAATATAACAGGCCACTCCTAATTTAATTTTCTTTCTAATATGAAACCTTTTTTCTTTTACTCTTCTTTAACAATCATGACAGATTTTAATTATTTTTTCTAGCCTGTAAAAGCTGTTCACATTCCCCACCTCACCCAGCTGGACCACTGTCAGCCTCCAGCTGCTGCAATTTCTGCTATGAGTATGAGGTAATCCTTCTCTAACAAAGCGCATATGCCTGCTATTGTTTAAAAGATTTGATTAGCGCCTTTTTGACTAAAGTGAGGAAGCACATGCATTGACATGTGCTGACAGAATCAGGGGAATGGAGTCTTAAGCAATTAAAAAAAAGAGGGTGAATTAATCCCTGGGGCCAGATACAGAAATATGAATATAAACAAAATATTGTTCTGACTTTTAATACATACATGTAAAATACAGATAATACACAATCTGTTACTTTGTCACAAATTCTAGTGCCTTTTAGTGGAAACGTGTAGTAAAAATACCAACATGGGGATTTCTGAAAATCATTTGTTGAACCGGATTTTGTTTCGGGGCGTCATGTAAAGGGGGAGGTACACTAAGGAATGCTACACAATTAATTTCCTTCTTTTTCACTACAATGCAGTACTTTTTCAATAATTCTACATGACTCAAAACTAAATGGCAGTTTAGCAGAGGATGATGTTCTGACTGTTGTTGATGCTTCTGGACCAACAAGATAACTGAAAAACTCATCATTTTACTTATTTTGGTCACGCTCTCCTGCGCTTGCTGGAATCCATACTTTGATGCATTTTCTTGCTCACTTGACTCAAAAAGACCCTAATCGCGGCTTCTTCTTCACAGTAGTAGACATCTGCGCTTTGTTGTGGAAAGATTACATCACACTCAAAGCAGAAATTACAGCTGCAGTAACCTTAGAAGGCTAACAGTGGTCCGTCTGAGTTAGATGGAATATGTGAAACCGAAAGGGAGTGCAGCATCCTTTGTTTTCTCAGAGTGTTTTCAGAAATGCTCAGCGGGTGGCAGGAGAGGGATAGAGGTTAACGGCATGAGTGAATCCACGGTAGCGGGTTGTCGCAACAGGACATGCGGAGCACCAGTGGTTCTTAGCATCTGCTCATGGGAAAAATCAATTGCCTAATTTCCAAGGTGCACCTGGTGGATTTTGCATGAAAAAGAAAAAAATTATAAAAATGTGCTACATCTCCAGTGCTTCTTTTTCTCTTTCTCTCTCTGAGAGCATCCAGATAACTCTTATTGTGTAATTGAAAACTCAGTGCCATGCCACTACAACCAGAACAATTTGGCCAGTTGGTGAAGCATCTGCGAGCAGTTCTGGATCTGGCTCCACTCTTTTGAGGCAGGCGCTGGCAAGCTGATTAAAAAAAAAAAAAAAAAAAAAGTCGGAAAAAAAAAAAAAGAACACCCCTGGCTAGCAGAGAATAATAAGTACCCATGGGAAGCTGCCAGATGGACATTTACTGTGAGCCTAGCTGGAGAGGGAGGAATCTGTCAAACATCACACCGGGCATCTGTGGGGGGGCAGCGCAAGTTCACGTCCACTACAGTGTGTCAGATGAGAGAAGGACTCTTTGTCGAGACTAAAAGCTGTTGGATTTTTTTTTTTTTTAAATATCACATCTACTTGATGCATTTACCTGCTTTTCAAGGTCAGCAATTCGCATTGCATTAAAGCACAGCAGTTAGAGTGAGAGCTTTAAATAATGTCCCGATAATGGATGCTGGAAAGATGTTTATCGCCTTTTTCCTCCCTGGACTCAAATGTTAGCCCAGTTTCCTGGCAGTCGCTGGCTGTTAATCAACACTTTACTTAATTTAAAGCTAGATTCAGCTGTGCCGCTCACAGGTGCTTCTCAGTAAATCGGACGATCATGGCAAACTTTTAATTCAGAGTAACTCTACAAAACATAAAGATGTATTTCAGGTGTAATGTTAATTTCCATCATTTTATGATGATGCAACTAATAAAACCCCAAAATTTAATTTCTCAGAAAATGGAAAAAAAAAAAAAAATCTGCAATATGTGCGACTCCCTTCAATATATAAAACAAAACTTGAAATCATCTCAGCTGGAGCAGGACCAGCCATCCATTGTCTATACCTGCTTCTGACTGGAGAGTCACTGTGAGACTGGCTCCTATCTGCAGTAGTTATTGGATAAGAGCTGGGATGCATGCTGGATTAGTCACCAGTTCTTCACAGGGCAAAGGAACACCACTTTACTGGAATCCCAATTTCCACTTCTTGAAGGCCAGCTTATTGAAGTTAATATACTAGACTCAAATAGTTACGGCTCAAGAGGGAATTAAGCCATTTGGTTCAGATGTGTAGGGCTATATATGCATTGGAATGCAGCAGTATTTTGTTGTCAAGGACTGTAGTTTGAAACCCTGGCCTTTCTATTCAGTGGGGTGCCTGTCGACATACAGGAGGGATAAGCCACAAAGGTTCATTGCTGAAGAAGCTGGCTGTCCGAGTGTTGTGTCCAAGTATATAATTGGAAAGCTGAAGTGTGGAAAAAGTGTGGTAGAAATAGGTTCAAAAGCAGTCTTGAGAGGATTGTGAAGGAAAGTCCATTCAAAATACCAGTCGGTAAGGTTACATTTCAGTATTAAAAATCTTTTTTTTTTCCTTCTCTTTTTGTGCGTGTTAAGCAATACTTGTCGGAGACGCTGTAGCGTCTTTTCTTTTTTGG